GTCCTTGCGCTTGCAAGGCAGGTGGTGGAACCACTGAGCTAAATCCCCAGCTAACTTTTTTTTTTTTTAATAGGGTCTCACTAGGCAGTTCAGGTTGGCCTTAAACTCACTATATAACCCAGGCTGGCCTCGAAATTGGGCAAACCTCCTGCCTCAGCCTCCAGAGTGCTGGGACTATAGGGATGCACTCACACTCAACCTGAAATGTGCATTTTAAGATAATGTTTGGGGATCTATTCATGTCGGTATATTTAGCTTTTTCCAGTTCTTTTCTCATAACTGCTGCCCCACTAAAATAACATGTGACCTTGAATTTAGACAGAACTCTAATGGACAGTGTTGATTGAGCTTTACGTTGCGTGCTAAGAGCTTGATACTCACAGCTCACGGGATCCTTCCAGCAGCCTAATGAGTTGGCCTTCCTTCTGTACATAGTCAGGGCATGCCTGTCCCCATGTCTGCTGGGCTCTATGGATATAGTCAGGCTTGGTCTTTCCCTTCTTTTTTCTAAAAATTTATTTTATTGGTACATTTTAGGTATACAATATAATGATATTCATCATTGGGATTTGTACCTTTATGTAATCTATCTTGATTCTTATTTTTTTTCCCCATTCCCCTGCTCTTCTTTCAACCCCTCCACTCCTCCCTACTTACAAAGACTTTGTTTCCATTTTTTCATATTCCCTTCTTGAATCTTACATTCCACTCAGGGAAAACAAATCAGAATCAGTTAGCAAGTAAGCAGATAGCAGAGACTGAAGTACTGTGAAGGGAATAACTAGGTGATATAATGGATGGTGATGGGAGGGGTGACATTAGGTAAGGTGGGAGGAAAGACTTCTCTGAGGGGAGCCGTTTGAGTGGAAATCTAGAGTGACTGAGAACGAAGGGCTGCTGGCCTGCTGAATAGGAAGTAGACTCTGGGGGAAAGAATTTGGTTTCTCTGAGGTATCGGAAATCAAGAGAAAAATAAAGTTCCTTTTGGTCACACAAGTATTATTATCCCTCTGAATGGGGACAGTGGGGCTAGGAAGGAGAAAAGGCTTGCTCAGATAATGTTTATGTTTGCCATGCTGGGGATCAAACATGGGACTGTGAGCATGCTAGTCAAGCACTCTGCAGTGAGCACTTAACACCTGTGCCCTGGGGGCACTCTGAGTGTCAGGCCTTGTGGCACATGCGAGATAGTTGAGTCCAGATTTTAATGAGACATGGTCGTGCCCCTCAGAGACTTAAGGAATCCAAAGCTTATCTATCAGTGATCAGGAAATAAATAGGACACTCAGTTACAATAGGACATTGCTGGATGTGGTCTGCATAGGTGCAGTGGGAGGTTTCGTGCTTCCCTTGGCTTGGGGATGGGGTGGGGAAACCTCTATGAGAGGTGGTTGATCCCTCAGCAGACACTGAAAGGTGCCCCAGGAGCCCCTGGGGCTGACAGGAAGAGAAGATCAGAAAGAGAAGCTTGTGCAAGGGCCCACAGGCATCAAACCCCTGGAGCCAGGAGTAGGCTGGCTGAGGTTGCCAATAGATCATATTTACTTCATAGGTGGTGAAGTGTGCAGTCAATGGGCTGCAACCAGGAGAACAGACCACCCGGGCATTTCAACAGAGAGAATTGTTTGGGGGCAGACTTCAGGGTAGAAAGACAGAGGCTTCCAGAACATGATTGACAATGTGACTGACAGGGTGCTAAGTCCTGTCAGTTGTGTCTGCTGTGCATGACCTTTCCCATAATTCACTCTTTATAACTGAATGTGTATAACATGCAGTCCATATGCAAGAACCTTCAGTGAGCTCCAAGTGGAGAAAGGTTCCTGTAGATCAGGCTGGAGAATCTGGCACACATATGTCCTGGTTTGGGATTCCAGAATTTTCTAGGACAGACTCAGGGGTCTTTTTTTTTTTTTTCTTATCTCTGCCTCCTGGACAAAGGCTGAGGGTTGGTCCTGAGGTGTTGCTGAGGTTCAGGTGAGTGGTCCAGTAGCCCTGCTGTACTATCTGTATGAAATCTACACAGTGTGCCAGTGTAGCCCATGTCTCACGACTCTCAAGCTCAAACCAGCATCAGCCCTTGCTGGATTACTGCAGGATTCCTCCCATTGGCTTCCCCTCTACAATCTGAGGTATCATTTGAAAACCTAAGTCAGCTCTTGTCACATCTCTCCTCAAAGCCCATCACCAGTTTCCCAGCTCTGTGGTCCCACAGAACGTGGCCTGGATCCACCCTACAGTTTTGTCAACGCTCGTGTCCCCCGAGGTGGATCCCCTGTTCCCAGTACTGTGGCTTGCTGTACCTGCAGGCAGGACCACTACTCTGGACAGAGAACTTCCTGTCCACTCTACCTGCTCCCCTCTCTTCCTTTCTGAAGGTCCTTGCTTATGTCACTCGTGCATCTCGGAGGCCTTCCCTCTACCCTGTATAAAGTAACCACTCCCACCTCCACCCAGCACCTTTATTAATTAAAAGCTATTAAATTTTTCTCCACAACATAGTACCGTCTGACGAGTATGTATGTGTTTGTTTGTAGCACTGGGAGTTGAACCCAGGGACTCATGCATGCTGGGCAAGCAAGCACTGTGTTACATCCCCAGCCCTGTGTTCATGTTTTAACCCATTTTTCCCTGCTACTAGAATAAAAGCTCCATAGGGACATAGAGTATTGTTCTATCTCCAGTGATTAGAACAATACCTGGCTTCAACTTGTTGAGTAGGCACTTGGTAAATGCTTGTTAACTAAGTGATTGGACAGGAATTAGTCACTGCAGGCAGAGGTAGAATGGACCAAGGTAAGGAAGGTGGAGGTGTCAGCGCTGACATTGTTTCCCAACTTGCTAGCCTGGGTGCTTGGTGATGCCAGTAATAAGTGTGGCAGCGGTATCTTGGTGACAGGTAGAAGAGGAGATGATAAATCCAGTTATTTGGGACCAGAGGCACCGTGAGCCATCTCAGTGGGGATGCCTGGGTGGACCTGGGAGGCTGTAGGTCTAGAGCTCCAAGGACATGTGTGAGACAGAGAGAGAGGCCTGGGGGCACCAGCGCAGTGCTGGCTAAAGGCCTGCTGTGGGTAAGCTTGCGCAGGAGAGCACAGGGACTGAGAGGAGGCCAAAGACAGACTCTTGGGGCACCGGGCAGCTGAGGGCAAGTATGGAGTGGTGGGGAGCAGGGAGAGGACAGAAGGGGCAAGGCCACAGAGGGCTGGCCGCAGACACGCAGAGGGAAAGATGCCCGGCACCAAAGGTAAGGGGGTTGCGAAGAAGAACACAAGTGTGACACTGGAGAGCTAACATGGAAGTCTTATTTAGAGCCCTTTCTCCTCCTTCTATTCTGTTGTATTATCCTGTCCTGTCCTATCCTATTTTATTCTTTTCTTTTCATTTTTAAAAGTTTTTGTTAGTACGTGTTAGCAGTACATAATGACTAAACTCATCATGGAGGGTTGGTGCATGTACATAACACATCTTACTTCCTTTTACTTCCCCTTCCTCCTCCTGCCCTCTCTTGGTCTCCATGACATTTACACACTATTCTTTTATTTTTTATTTTTTTGGTACCGGGGATCGAACTCAGGTCCTTGTGCTTGCGCAGCAGGCGGCGAAACCACTGAGCTAAATCCCCGGCCCTACACACTATTCTTTTATTTTAAAGTTGCCAGGTGTGGTGCACACCTGTAATCCCAGCACTCAGGCTGAGGCAGGAGGATTGCCATGAGTTCCAGGCCAGCAAGACCCTGTCTCAAAAGACAAACAAACAAACCAAAAACCATGCTAGTGAAACCCACTAAGCTGAGTCACCAAAGTGCCAAAACTCACATTTTAGAGGGATCTGTGTTGGGTCAGTGGTTTGCTTAATGGGTGTGGTGGGAGGGTTGTTGAGCTGAGAACACCAAATATCTTCATTTTAAGAAGTGCCCCGATAATGTGATGCAGATCACTAGCAGATCTTGCCTGCTGAATTTCTTAGAAGACACAGGTGCTATGCTTCTTTTTTTTTGTACTAGAGATCGAACTCAGGACCTTGTGCTTGTGAGGCAGGCACAGTACCACTGAGCTAAATCCCCAGCCCTCTTCTTGCTTCTTGAGAGAAGCAAAGACAGGTGGCAGCAGGGCTTTAGAGAAGAGAGGGTGTTGTGCTGGCGACCTAGAGGCAAGATGCAGGCGGGAGGTACTCACAGACCAGAGGGCCCTGGGGCTGGCAGGACGCCTCTGATGACACTGACTTCCTGCCACAGCATGGAAGGAGGGACTCAGGTTGGCCTCTGTCTACTTCTGGAAACAAGATATGTCAGCCCTCCTCTGGTGTCCCTCATGCCAGTGTGGACAGGGGAACAATCCAAGAAAGAAGATCATTGCCGGGTGTGGAGGTACATGCTTACCTATGGTGGTACATGCTTACATGCCTGTACGTATGTGGGGTGTGCCTGTACACGTGTGTACATGGCTGGACTACATAGTGAGACCATATCTCAAAAGAAGAAGATGGAAGATGAAGAAGAGGAGCAGGAGGAGGAGAAGGAGGAGGAGGAAAGGGAAAATGGCAGGATTCTGAAGTACAGTGGGAAGTTCTGAAATCACTGTGTGGGGTGGTCTGATGCCTCCTCTGTGGCACTTGAATAGGTGGGCAGCAGAAGCAGCACTGGACAGCTCTTTGCCACAAATCTCCAGGGTCATCAGACAGTTCACCCAGGTCCTAACCCCGGGAAAATGCTGGATGGGGGAATCCCTCTCCAGAAATCTTGATTCTTTCTCTGTGGAGATGGCCAGGAAAGGCTGGTCTGGAGAAATTATTTTCAGGGAGATGGAAACTGGATTCTCTTTACAAACCTCCTCATAGATGAGCTGTGGTGATTCAGTCGTGTCCCGCTGCCAGTCTTACCTATGAACTGATCCTCAGGCAGAGCAACTTTGAATGGTTTCTAGAGCAATGAGTTAACTGGATGGAGTAGAAACACTTGAAGCCTCACTAACCTCTGGGCAATAAATGTTTTCCCTTTCAGGATTCAGAGAAAATGAGCATTGAAATCGTCTCCCTGGCCTTCTACCCAGAGGCTGAAGTCATGTCTGATGAGAAAGTAAAGCAGGTGTACGTGGAGTACAGATTCTATGACCTGCCCTTGTCTGAGACAGAAACTCCAGTTTCCCTTCGGAAACCGAGGGCAGGAGAAGAAATCCACTTCCACTTTAGCAAAGGTGAGGCATCCTGTGTAGTTAGCAGACAGAGGAGCCGGACATATGCTGAAATTTGGATTTCTGATGGGGGTGAATCCAACCTTTTTTCTTAAATTGTGGTGTGGGGGAAGTGAACCCAGGGCTTCGCCTAGGCTAGGCAAACACTAGTGATAACCTATTCCCCAGGCCTGAATTCAACCATTTTATCTTATTATATTACCTACAAAAGCAATAGAGACATATGGTTTATTTGTTTATTTATCTTTTGTTTCTTTTGAGACAAGGGCTCTCTATGTAGTTCAGGCTGGCCTTGAACTCTCAGAAATCCTGCTTCAGGACCAGGGATTTAACTCAGTGGTTTTGGCGCCTGCTGTGCAAGTGGAAGCGCAAGCGCAAGGACTGGACCGAATCCGGGAACCAAAAAACAAAACAAAACAAAAAGAAATCCTGCTTCAGCTTCCTGAGTGCTGAGATTATAGGTGTGCACCACCACACTCAGCTTTCTTTCCTTTTTTCTTTTTTTTTGGTACCGGGGATCGAACTCCGGACCTTGCGCTTGTAAGGCAGGCGCTGAAACCACTGAGCTAAATCCCCGGCCCCCCTTCTTTCCTTTTTCCATTTCTCCCTCCTTCTCTCCCTGTTTCCTTCTCCCTCTCTTTTTCTTCTTTTTTTTGCGGTACTAGGTATTGAAGTCAGGGGACCTTTGCACTTAGCTAAGTCCCCAGATCTTTTTAAAGAATTTTTTCTTTTGAGACAGTCTCATTAAACCACTAAGTTTCCCAGGCTGGGCTTGAAAGTGTGATCCTCCTGCTAAACCCTCTTCAGAGTGTTGGCATGTGCCACCACACCCAGCTGATTTATTTTCTTTGTCTTTCTTTCTTTCTTTTTCTTTCTTTCTTGTCTTTTTCTTGTTGATGCAAATATTTACTTATTTATATTTAATTTTTAAATATTTATTAATACATGTTTATAGTAATAGTGATTACATTCATCGTGGGGCATTGGTACATGCACAGATAACATCTTAATTCTTTTTACTTCTCCTTTCTTCTCCCCACCTTTCATTTCTTGATTCCCTTCCCATTTGCAAAAGATTTGTTTTAATAGATCACATTTTGGAGTAGCTTTCATTTTATTTTTATTTTTTTGGTTTTTTGAGACAGGGTCTCGCTATATAGTTTGGGCTGGCTTTGAACTGCCTATATAGCCCAGGCTGGCCTCAAACCCATGGCTATCCTCCTGCCTCAGTCTCCTGAGTACTGGGATTACAGGAGTATATCACCAGGCCTGGCTTGAGTAGCTCTTAAGGAAATCAATATTTGGAGTAAATATTTTGAGAAACTCACGCATGTAATCCCTTTTTCCACTCTCATACTCAGTTGATAAGTGGACCAATAAAGAAATCTATGTTGAAAACATTTTCAAGGGCCAAGGATTTAGCTCAGTGACACTGTGCTTGCCTCGCAAGTGCAAGGTCCTGAAGTTTGATCCCTGATATCCCCCCCAAAAAACCCTCCAAAATAAACATTTTCATTTTAAGTCTTCATCTGCCTCCTTAGTGCAGTAGGCAGTGTATCAGTCTCATAATCTGAAGGTCCAGAGTTCAAACCTCAGAGGGGGCAGTTCAGTTTTAGCCAGGCCTGGTGGTACTCAGGAGGCTGAAGCAGGAGGATAACATGTTCTAGCCCAGCCAGAGCAATTATTTTAAAAAACTGACAATGTAGCTTGGTACACAGACCATGTGTTCAATCCCCAGTACTGCAATACATACATACAGCAATAAAGCAGCCCCAGAGGATAGGTGCTCGGATGGACAGAGGTATATTCAATAAAACTTTATTTACAAAAGCAGGGAGCCAGCCCATAGGCCTAGAGGCCAACCTGTACTTTAGGTGTTTTACATGCATCACTTATGAAAATCTTTGTCCCCAAATAGCAACTGTGTGTTTGCCCTTTTCTCTTAGTGATTGACCTGGACCCTCTGGAGCAACAAGGCCGAAGGCAGTTCCTATTTGACATGCTGCAGGCGCAAAATCCAGAGCAAAGACAGTATGCATCTACTTTCCACTTTGAGAGAAAGGAGAAATTCAGACAGGAATTCAAAAGCTGGAACCGGATGTGGTGGCACATGATTGTGATCCTAGAACTCAGGAGGCTGAGGCAGGAGGATCACTGCAAGTTTGAGCCCCCTGGGCTACATAGTGAGAAATTGTTTTAAAAACAAAACAGGCTGGGGATTTAGCTCAGTGATTCTACTGCCTGCTTTGCAAGTGCAAGGTCCTGAGTTTGATCCCTGGTACCAAAAAAAAAAAAAAAAAGTTGGGAGTTTGATTTTGTGCTGACACTGAATTTTTTAGGAACTTCTTTCAAGTTAATTTTCTCTTAATGAATTCCTATTTGAGTTTTCATGCATGTGCCTACTTGAGCAATTCATTAGTATATGCTTTTAGCTCATATCTCACTGGTACCTGCCTGATGGGCACTTCTATTTTTGCCCACTGCTGGGAATGGCACCCAGGGCCTCACATGTGCCAGGCCATTGCCCAGTGCTCTACCTCTGAGCCACACACCTGCCCAGATGGACAATTTTGGGACAGTTTACTCGAATCTTAACAGTGCCCTCCATGGAATGGCTTTGACTGAGATAATTTGATTCATTTTTCACACACGTGGAAGCAATGCTAGCTCACCAAATACTGTGCCTTTATAATTTTACTTTGCATTTAGATTTTAAAGATTTTTTAATGGGACTATTTTTTAATTGGACTATTATAAATTCTAGCTGTCATTTAAAGTTTTAGGAAAGGCAATTATCTTTATTAAACCTGTAATAAGAATGCCTTCTTTTACAGTGTGTGTATGGTTTCATTTTTGTTTTTCGAATCTGGGAACACTTCCTCTTTGCATGTGAGTTAGAAATGATACAGGACTGGTGTTTTAATCTATTATTTTCTAAAGGCCCAATAATTTGTTTAATCTGTTACATTACCTCGTTAATCACAGAAAGGACTGGAAGGAGCCATTTGAAATAAATACTCTGATCTCAGGGTCCCATGGGCTCCACAAACACAAGTTTATAGGCAACATGGGGATGGAGTGATCTGGTCATTTGCCTTCTTGCTAATATTTAGCTTTTAGTTTAATTTTCTAGCATTAGGACATCATCTTCCTTTATTCCCTTACAGTGGTAATTCTTTTCTAATCAATTAAAAAAATTTTTTTCTACCCAATTTTATTATTTATGCAGTGCTGGGGATTGAACCCAGGGCCTCCCTTATGCATGATAGGCAGGTACTCACCCTAACCCTCTACTCAATTTTATTTTTCTTTGCGGTACCGGGGATCGAACTCAGGACCTTGCACTTGCGAACCAGGAGGGGTGCCACTAAGCTCAATTCCTGGCCCTCTACTCAATTTTAGATTGCAATTGATTTTGCCTTTGATGGGGGTGGTTTGAGACAGGGATTTGCTCTGTAGTTCAGGCTGGCCTTGAACTCAGTCATTCTCCTGCCCCAGCCTCCCAAGTACTGGGATTACAGGCGTGCACCACCAGGCCTGGCTACTTTTTTTCCTTTTTGCTAGTATGGCACAGCTTACCCTGGCTTTGTACACTGGCAGAGATGGTGCTATATCCAATTCTTACATTTACTAGTTCTAGGATCTTTGCAGTATTACTTCAAGGCTCTAGAGAATAAAACTAAAATAATATAGTTTACAGTGGAGCGCTTGTTATCATGCTTGGTACATAGTAATGCCAGTCACCATCCTGCTCCTGGGAGCACAGAGGTGGGAGTCAGTATAACCTTTCGCATTGTTGGACATTTGGATGATACAGAAACATAATCACAAATGAGTATTGCCCAATAGGTTGAGAATATATCCTTTCGCATAATTACCTTTTTTTTTTTTTGGTACGGGAGATCGAACTCAGGTCCTTACACTTGCAGGGCAGGTGGCAGAACCACTGAGCTAAATCCCCGGCCCTGCATAATTCCTTTTATTTAATCATGTTTAGCTGTATGTAGTTTACTTTTCTTTTTGGTACCGGGGATCAAACTTGGGTCCTTGTGCATGCACAGCAGGCAGTGAAACCACTGAGCTAAATCCCCGGCCCTGTAGTTTACTTTTTGAGACTGAGTCTCCCTAGGTAATTCAGGCTGGCCTTGAACTCAAGTCATTCTCCTGTCTCAGCCTCCTATAACCCTGGGATTATAGGTATGTGCTAGCATGCCTGGTTTGACAGTTTTATTTTTGGTACCAGGGATCGAACTCAGGTCCTTGCTCTTGCGCAGCAGGCAGCGAAACCACTAAGCTAAATCCCTGGCTTTTTTTTTTTTGTACCAGGGATCAAACTCAGGACCTTGCACTTGTGAGGCAGGCGCTGGAACCACTGAGCTAAATCCCCAGCCCCGTGGTTTGACAGTTTTGATGTGGTTAACTACATTATTCTGTCTGTGTCCTTTTCTTATAACCTGTTGCTACTTAATGATATTAATTTCTCCATTTTTTTGGTTGTCCATTTATAAAATGGAGGGAAGGGGAAGATGATGTAGGGGAGACATTATTTATAATTACTTTCTTATTTTTAAAGCAGAAGGGATCAGCAGTGTTGAATTAATGATTTTTTATTTCTAGCTTAAAGTTTACAGTAGTAAGTGATCCCATGGATGAAGAAGCGAAGGACTGTGAAGAAGTAGGATATGTGTATCTTGAACTGTGGCAGATCCTTGAATCCGGAAGAGACATTATAGAACAAGAGCTAGAGAGTGAGTGATGAAATTCTTGTGCTTCTCAGTTCCATTTATTTCTAAGGAAAAACATCCTAATAATGAACAACTGTTGTTTTACCTTTAAAATATAATTAATTATCACTGTGAAGTTGATAAAATGCGAACTGCATTGAAATATTTTCCCCATGGCTATGTGTGTCATTTCTGGATTAAGCATCCAAGTAGTTGGTTGTTTCCAGGCATGGTGGTGCACACCTGTAATTCCAGCGTTCAGGAGTCTGAGTCACGAGGTTCACTCAAGTTCAAGGCCAGCCTGGGCTACATAGTAAGACCCCATCTCAAAGTCATGTTTGTATTTTAGCCCCCCACATTACCTCATTATGACTAGAATCTATTTTAAGGGCTATCCTTGCCCCGGTATTGGGGATTGTACTCATGGCCTTAGTACTGAACTACATCCCCAAGTCCCTCCCTTTTTCAAAATTTTGAGACAAAGTCTTGCTAAATTTCCCAGGCTGGGCTCAAACTTTCAGTCCTCCTGCCTTGGCTCTGCAGAGTGCTGGGATTACAGGTGTGTGACACCATGCATAGCTTCCAAGTCCCCCTAACTGTAGCACCCTGAGATGAAAAGTATGAGGTATTAGTGTTTAAGTGAATCCTGCTGCTGCCTGACTCTTCCTTTCCTTCCCAACAGTTGTCAGCCCTGAAGACCAGGATGTAGCAATAGGAAGGCTGAAAGTTTCACTTAAGGCAGCTGCAGCCCTCCATAGTATTTACCAGGAGATGATTGAAGATCTGCTGTAACGAAGGATCAATGCCCTTCCATTCTTGTGTCTCTGAGGGAACAACAGTAAAAAGTCTCTTACAAAGTAACCTGCTATACCCTAAGTATGTTTGCTGGGATGTCTAGATCTCTTGACCTAAAATTTAGAATGATCAAAGTTCATTTTTGTGACACTAGTTGGACAAAGGCATTTTCTTTCACCTCAGTGCTTTACCAGGTGAGAAGCAGGGCTCCTTTCATGTACTGCAAAAGAACGGTCAGAAAAGGCAAATTTACAAAAACAAAACTAACAAAAACCCCACAGTTTATTTATCTTTTAGTTTTTCCAAAATTGAAAATATCAAGTCCTACTGCTAAGGAGAAAAAACAAACAAACAAACAAACAAAAAATCTGAGCCCTCCCCCCTTAAGTCACAGAACACGGAAGTGCAGTGGGGCAGGTGGGTGCAGAGAACCAGGAAGGAGGGCAAGAGAAACTCCCCACACGTAAAAAGCCGTTCAACAGAAACTGATAAATACAGGACAATGGCAGGGTAGGTAAAAACAGGGAGCAGCAGTGCGAGAGGCTGTGTGGTAGATATGACCTCCCTTCCTCTTCTCTTTCCTCCTCAGGCAATGCTAAGCCCAAGACATAACTTGCCCCTTCAAGATCTAAACGTTGACTCCTGTGAGCCTCCCTCTAGAGATTTTACTTGAAGCAATATGTGAAGCACACGACCATTCTTCCCGATACATCAGAAAAGAGAAACAGTGGTGATTTTGCCTTCTATCATTGTATCATGTATGAATTTTTAAGGAGAAAAAGCTGAGGAAGGGATTGTCACTGTTTCACATGTCTTCCAACGTGGCAGAAATACCTCAGAATCTGCACGAGGCAAAAAGCCATGAAAACTCAGATGAAGGCACCAGCCCAATCTGCCTCACTAGCTCAAGTTGTATGGTTTATCACAATCGTTAGCAAATTCTAAGAGCCTTTTCTTGAGTACTGCAAAGATGGAACTTAAAGAGATGTGAGGAAGATCGCAGCAGTAGGGGAGGATGAAGGACTGAATCTGCTGGTCAAGAATCATGGTACAGGTGAGGTCACCTTGTACCACTGTCTTAGAAATACAGCTTTGAGACACCAAAGATGTCAGAAGCCATCGATGTCCTGGCAGGTGACAGGAAGAGAGGAATGAACGGTATTTATTAACAGTGGGAGCCTCCACCCTTCTTCAAGAACACCTCCTCCCTTGCCATCTGAATGGGGCCATTGGCACGTGTCCTGGTGGTCCTGGAATTCCCCGAGTAGATTGGTCCACACAAATGGCCCCCTAAACCCATAAACACAAATGGCAGAACTTCAAAGAAAACAAAAGGAAGTAAACCCAGTTTCTATGTCATGTAAAATTTTCTGGAGTTGGCTGGAGAAGAGTGGAGCTCAGAGCCAAAGTTCAGGTGTTACTTCCTCTTTTTCTTGGGTGGTGCAGAGCTGTGTCTGGAACCACGGTTAGAGCCACGGCCTGAATTGTGTACAGACGCCTTCCTCTTCCGGCTCATACTTCTACTCTGTTCTTCTTCTTCCTCATAGCGACTTTCACGGTCCGCTAAAAAGAATGAAAAGGTGGTATTAGTTAGATTTAGTTACCTAATGCTCCTGGCTAGCATGAAACAGATGAAGAATCTACTCAGTCACAAGTTATATGACCCGAGGCAAGTGCTTAAATTTTCTGAGCCTTAGTTTATTGATTTATAAAACAGAATTATTTAAGAATTAAAGAATCTATCCTGCACAAGGTACATATTCATGATATTTGGGATACGTCAGATAATAAATATTTCCTCTTCATCTTTAACCTGTATTTGCAGTTTGGTTTCAGAGAAACTAGGTAAGGATTAGCACTTACCAAAGACATTCCTAACTTGGACCCTTACATGACTACATGGTATAATGGCTATGGGCAAACCAGAAGCTTAGGCAGAGGAAAAAAGCATCCACCTAGGCAGTCATGTCCACTTGAGAAAGTACAGACACATTCCAGACCTAATTTCTCCATTGGTCAGTTACAGCTGTGGCTTCAAATCAGATTTTGGGTTCTTCTGTTACTCTCATTAGGCTACTAATACTAGTAACTCAAAATACGGAAATGTGCTAGAAACTTTTTTTTTTGGTACCGGGGATCAAACTTGTGGTCCTTGAGCTTGCGCAGCAGGCAGTGAAACCACTGAGCTAAATCCCCGGCCCCTTTTTTTTGTATTCTTAAAAATGGTCTTGTTACTATAGCTCAGGTTGGCCTCCAACTCCCAATCCTCCTGTCTCTGCCTCCCTAGTGTTAGGATTACGGGGCATGTACCACCACGCCTGGCTAGAAATTTACACATAACTAAAATGGGTAAATAAAATAATAAGCAACAAAATCCTTTTTTAACCTTTTCGGGCTTCTTCCTCCAGTTCATCCCAATCTTTGCCACTCTCTTCTTCACTGCCCAAGGATTCCTTGGAATAGTCTGGAATAACAATGATTACACATCAGCCAGGCAGGAATGGAATGACATAATTTTCCTCTTTTGCAAAAGTGCTTCCAGAAATAAATTAATTAGGAAGCCATGAAAATTTTTTGTTATAAAGACTAACCTGATTCTTCTGCTTCTGATGAATAATCTTCATCACTGTCCTCTTCTTCCTCTTCATAGTCATCCTCTGAAGGATTGAAAGTCTCATCTTCGATTTCAGACTCTGAATCCCCTTCTTCAGCATCACTCCCCTGATTAAGTTAGAACATAATAATATTTATTTTACCTTCTAGCAAATTAACCAATTTAGTATCTACAGTATCACTAGCATTTTACATGGAAAAAACAAAAACCCTGAATGACAAAGAGATAAATGACTGGTCTCATATTACTGGTAAGGTACAGTTCTTAGATCCTTCAAGGTTTAATTCTTATTTCTTTCTTGTGCTGGGGATTGATCCCTAGTCTTGTACATACCAATTCGTATTTCTGAAAGGATCATTTCATCCTTCCTTGCTAAGAGAAATTAAGGAGAGAAAGACTCTGTAATAGTGTATCATACAAAGGAGTGCTTCAGAAAGTAATTTTTGTGAAATGTCCTAAATCCACTCCCCTATACTAAGAAACTCAGTGAAGAATAGTTTCTGTAGTATCAATGAACTTTGTCAGTGGCTACCAATGTCCCATCAATTTATCATTTACAGTATAAACCATGAAGTTGAAGTTCAGAGTCTGTGAAAACTCCCACAATCTGGCAGAAGGTTTCCGAGTAGCCAATTCAAGAAGGTTGTTCAGTTCTCCTTGTTGCTGACTGGCTTCAGCTCTGTAACCAATCTCCAGGAGATGCACGAGCATTCCTGCATCATAACAGGTCACTATACCCGTGTAGCTAGCTTACAGGTTCTTGGTTTTGTTCTTCTTAAAGCCCTAAAATCCCCAAGATGCTGCCAATAAGCTGTGCACCCTCTCTAAGGCTTTATTAATACAGTATTTAATTAAGTTAAATTACATACCTGTGGCAGACATGGCATTTTTAGGGTTTAAACTATAAAAATAGGCATTTATGGGGCTGGGGATTTAGCTCAGTGGCACCGTGCCTGCCTTGCAAGCAAGTACAAGGTTCTGAGTTCGATCCCCCGTACCAAAAAAAAAGCATTTACAGGCATTTTTCTGACCTTAACTGAAATCTGTGGATTTTCACAATTCGCAAGTACTCTAGGAATGTGAATTTCGGGGGTCCACTGTACCTATAAGAGCACTCTGAAGACAGCAATAGCAAGCTGTGTTCAGTGCTTCTTTTCTTTTCCTAGCTGCTCTGGAACTCATGTACTACCTACCTCTGTGCCATTTTGCTGCCTGCCCAAATGGGAGCAGGCAACACTGTATCGCAGGAAAGAAACCCCACACTCACGCACCTCACCCTCAGGTTCCAGAAAAGACCAGCCACCCTGCTCGAAGAAGCCCTCAGGGTCATCCACAATGGTCTTCATGATTTTGGTCCAGTTGAGGGACTGTACTCCTTCTGTGTACTTTAGGTCACAGGAACTGAGAGAAATGACATTATGAAATCAGCATTAATCTTCTATACTTTCTGGAAATGTTCAGTATCATCTTGGTCTTTGGCATCCCTGAAGAGCACATACTCCTTCTCTAATCTGGGAGAACAGATGTTTGTTGCTCTGTGCCATTAGCACATGCCAATCTGGCTATCTGCTCTCCCACAGCACAAACCCTGGAAACAGTCGCTCTCCAGCTATAGTCACTTGTATCTCAAAGAGTCTGAGCTCATCTTCCTTACTTCCATTTTCCCCCTTATACATCAATTTCCCTGCCCTTCATTTAGTCTTAACTCTTACTCTTCCTTACTTTCCCCTCTTTTCCACTGACTGCACAATTATTTGTAAATAATCGGAACTCATAGTCACTTCTGAGGCTTTATGTTTCAGCTCCAATCATTTACTCTACTATAATTAGAAACAGAATTTTCACTGGTCCTAGATTTCCCTACTCCTCAAACTTCTACTGCTTTCCTATATCTTGTTTATTTATTTGATGAAAGCTCTATTTCAAGTCCAGGGTACATTTTTTAAAAAAAGTATGTAAAGTCCTCTGTATTCAGAAAATGTCTAAATGACTTTTTATTCACTTCTATTGATCAACTGAAATAGGTAAGAAATATGAAAACACACACACACAAATGTGTGGACGGATAGGAAGAATATGATAATAGGAAGGATTAAAATAAACCTTCAGCATAAACCTGCCTGAGAACCATTGGCATAAACCCACTTTACATAATACTGTATACACTAAAATGTCTGCTTCCAGTCATAATAGAGTAAATTTGGTCTAGAATTATCTTTCCACCTTAAACAAGAAAACACAGCAGTTTTCAGACACTGGATGAAAAGCATCAAAGAACACAATCCCTGAAAAGTGGAAACAAGACTTTGTTTCATCATTGCCCTTATTTTCAGTCTGGAGGCAGTTCCCAGGCTATGCTGGAATGGGGAAACCAACCAAACCTGGTAGTTTTGAGAAGCTGAGAGGATGAGGGGCAGCTGAGACATCCAGAATATGTGAGATACACTAGTGGAGCAGAGTTATACAGAGAGGAAGTTCTGTGGCTTCGGACATGAACCGAATCTGGAACTGGGCACAGGACCATGGAAAGCAGCAGGCCAGACAAACCCTGTGTCTCACACACAACTAAAAGTAA